GAATTTGAAATTTAGTATATATCAGGCATGGGCATGGAATTCTTGTCAAAAACAATACAATAGTGAATTCATAGAAGCCTCATCAATACCATTTGGAGAAGGCATGGCAAAAGGACTAAAAGGATGTGATCCCTATTTGAAATTAGAATGTGTCAAATGGGGTAACATGAAATATGAGACTAGAAATAACGCATAATGGACAATAACATACTAGAGGAATAGATGGATGTGCATACACACCATAAGGATACATTGCAACATAAGGATGGGGAAGGGTACCACAGGGAGGCATAATATGCTGTAATAAAACAATTCATGTAAGATCTTTACCAATAGTAAAGAAGATCATTTCGAATGCACAAGTTTACTCCTCAGTCTCTGCCCATAGCTTGCTACTTCAAAATAAGACAACCAAAAATAAAATTTTATCATCAATGGAGTACACTTCTTTGAGATGTTAATGGTAATGGTGCAAGTTTCAAGCTACCTCCATTTTTCATAATTTACATTCCCATCATTCACTACTAGTTCAAAAACATAAAATACCTAAACCCCCCACATATATGGAGGTGCTTGGGGACTTGATGCCAAGAAGCCATGTGGAGGCATGGGAGAATAGACCTATTTGAAAACAAGCACCCATATGATAAATCAAGACTAAAGGCATAAGCAAAAGAAAAAGAACTTAAACTAAAGCCCTTAGTTTTGAGAACCTAAAACCTAGACCATTCTACATTAACTGTGCCAGCACTAATGGTCAAACACTGCTCCTACATAACACAAATGGATTAAGAAATTAGAATAACAACCCAAATGAGAGGAACATTATTGAGGAATGAATTTATATGGTTGCAAAACCAATGACGTGTGCGGATCCACGTCAACAAGGACCCACAACACTCATTTCCCACATCGGACGTGTAGTTTCTATTTTCTCCTAATTACTGCAATGGAATCAGCATCGCCTGAAATGACACTCATGTACTTCGTTGGAGACATCGCAAAATGTCACTTACTCCAGCATCTATTTTCATATACATGGCCAGACACAATTGGATATATTTTGGCGACATCGTTGAGCATTCCTTGATGGTCATGTCCTCCGTAGCGATGTTCATTGCTATATCCTATGGCTCTCAACAATGGATAAAGAGCTTACTATACTACATGGTTTCCATCAATGGATAATGGGCTAATCTTATTATATCTACACAGTTCCCAACAATGGACAAAGGACCAGATTTTCTATCTCATTTAGCCTCTAACAACGGACAAAAGGCTACACATATCTACATATCTCCATTTCACCGACTCCTAACAATGGACAAAGGGTCGGATCTCTACATATTCTATCTCACTGGCTCCCGAAAATGGACAAAAAGTCAGTGTAACTCGATATGATTAGCGTGAGGCTGGTAACAGTTGCAACCTTACAATCGGACGGGATGGCGACCCTCCAATGATAAAAATCCATCAACTAACGACTGACGGTCCCTTGGTGGTCACTCGTGCATGGTGGCACAGTGCCTAGCGGGCAACAACAACCAAGACCGCCCTCCATGGTGTGGGTATGACAAGACGGGCCAACATTTGTCAATGGTATCACACCTTATCATATTGAAGGCCATGGATGCGGCTGGCATCCCTCTTCCATGGAGACAGCCTCCACCCTTCTTTATACATATTCATCATTATGGCGGAGTCTGGTTTAATGAGATTTACCTTTTCGCAGCTTGGTGGATTAGT